CCTAGCTTCAGTGCGCGTGCACAATGTGCCATGTAACCGGCCTAGCTTCAGTAGTGCACAGTGTGCCATGTAACACCTAGCTTCAGTCCACAGTAAACCAGTCATTATAGCGCTGATGAAGATGACAGACGGTCATCGAAACGTCGGCTCATGTAAATAAAACAAATGATTGTGAATAAACGAACTATTCAATCATTTAATCACCTGAAATTATTTACGGATGTAAAACGTTTCTTGCCTGCCAAAGTGACTATCAGGACGCCGAGTCTCCGCACGCCGTCTAATGCCATGGTGGCTGTCCAGTGCGGCACGGACCTGGTGTTCGCCCTGTGTGTGGGGCCGGCTGCGTCCGTCTCTGTCATCACAAACAGCTGGCCGCTGGACCCGGCAGTCTGCATGGTCACTGGTAAGCTTTTTTTTTATTCATATACATTTATTGAGTATTGGGCAAAAACACAAGCAGCTTATATAACACCTTCTACTCAAACATACAACGAGTGAAAACACATTGACAAAATACATGCATAATCACAAGGTGGGTAAAACCAAGATATATACAAAACAAGACAATTTGGTGATCTATCAATTACAAGAATCTACCCGTATAGCAAATTAAGTTTTGAACTACATCAAAGACATTATAGTTTTGTAGGTGTGAAAGTGATGTGAACCCTCGAAGTAGTAAGGAACATAGTGAACTGTCATTGAGATGCTGATGTTGCCCATATAACATAAAACACTTCAGTACAGTATAATTTCATCTTCTTTGACTTAAAATATAAGATTGTAAAATGTGGATTCAGAATTCCATAACCATCCCATCTCGAAGGATTCTGCAGCATATTTTTTTTACAATAAAATACATTTCTTAGACCTAAAAGTCATTTTATAACAAATAATGTTTTGTCTTTTGACTACTGTTCCGCGTATTCGAAGTTCCCTATTCCCCAACTTGTTCTACCCTGGGGACTCGTACCATCAGGATTTTCCCTCCGCAACGCTCGAAAAAAAATCACTTTTTGGGGGTCAGATGGTACCCAGGCTAAACTTGTCCCTTTCCCTGCAGGTTTTCTGTGTATTGTGTGCAGAGTCATGTCTACCCTCACACTAACGCTGATCGCCGTGAACCGGTGCGTGGTCATCACCACGGGCATCGACATGCACGACAGGCTGTTCACCTGGAGGAACACCGCTGCCGCTCTGTCAGTCTTCGCGGCCGCTAGTTTCACCTTCGTGCTCTCCTGTCACGCTGGAGGGTTGGAGTTTGGATATCTGACCAGCACTCGACGCTGTACGCTCATTGTGGTAACGCTCATTGTGGTATGTACACTGTATACATGACCTAAATGTAAAATCTCCATGCAGATATTCCCGTGGTATATCTTATTGAACAAGAAATGATACCTATAGCAATGACTCATCAGTAAGGAATGAAGAGAGCAACAGGCAATAGGCATCAAGCTTTCGAGATGGTAGGGAAGTTGTAATCTTCTTTCTGATTGGGTGCTGGACTAATTGGATTAATAAATTGGAAACCTGCTAAGGGCAGGCTATGGCGTATTGACAGCTGAACTGCAGGCCAATACCGTTGTCTACGGGAGGATCTGCTAAGAGATTAGGTCACAGCAAGTAAATTTTATGGGTGACATCCTCGCAGGCTCCAAAACTAATGCGATAGGGCGAAAAAAACCAAGGCGGGACAAAAAAAAAAACAAGATTCCTACTTTTTCAAATTTTCACACCTTATTTAAAAAGAAATGGTACCTATACTGTGCCAAGTTTACTGCTATCGTCACTGAAAAATAAACGTTTTAATCATTGTACAAATGGTTTGGATTCAGTGGGAATATCACATATAAAGGGAATGAAATACGTCAATTCATCAAAGTAAAAGACAAAACAATAAATCAGAGCCTTGTCTTGTCTCCTTTTTTAAACATTTATCTGCCATCCATGTTCAGACTGACTAAAGAGATCTTTGCCCATTTTCGGCATGTTGACCACTGTCAGAGGGCAACAATTTTTTTTCAAAGTCCTACAAAAATCAATGCGTGCGTTGATGTTATTCATAAAAATTACTTGCTGTGGCCTTACTTTGTGAGACAAGTGGTTTTCATTTAAAATCGGAATTTACATACATGTGTGTTTATTTACATGCATCCCATGTTGATTTTTGGTCCTGAATGTTTTTGTAGGATACGAACTCGCCAGGTTACATCGTGTTCCAATGCACCAGCGGTGTACTGATCGTGACCATGGTGGCCACATGTGTGTCGTGTTATGTTAAGATCGTCCTGTATGTGCGACGGAGTGGAGCGAAACTGCAAGGGCAGGTGAGTAGTCTTAACATGCACTGTATTTGCCATAAAACGACCAGTACTGATTTTGGTGTACTGTGTTTTTCGCTTTACCCCAGTCAACCTATATATTCGATCAATTGAATCAAAATGTAGTTTTTTTACCAGAAAGTTTTATCAATCACATCACCCCATCACCCCAAAGTTATGACGTTTAGAATATGAAATTAGAGCTATGTTCAGGAGGTTGACTATTTGTCCTCAAATATATTATACTCGAGGCTTCCAGAGGTTGTAGCTCACGTGGCCATTGTTTGTAAAAAGTGTTAGGCCACACCAAGTAAATTTTATGGATGACGTCCTTTGGAGACCCTAAATCTAATGCGAGAAGGCGAAAAAAAAACAAGAAGTGCCCTAAAAAACAAGATGCCTAGATTAGAAATATACTAAGAGACGACAAATGTTAGGACACAAATTGAATTAGGTGACACAGTGTAACAAGCAAGAAGTCTTTTATTCATCATCAAAACAGCAATAAATCAGCTGCAGGATTCAGGTGGAACAGTGGACAGTGAAAAATTTTCTGTTATTGACAGGGTGGTCCTGTCAATAGACACTTCCTTCGCGTTACGGGTTTCACGTCAATCTGACGATTTACGGCACTGTCGTGACTCTTGGTCATAGTTACAGGAAGCGAAATTTCTTGGTTTTTTTTTCTAGGATGAGGCCAAAATCAATGCGCGCGCGGACGTCATCCATAAAATTTACTTGGTGTGGCCTTACGAAGAAAAACAAGGAGCAATCAATCAGTCAATCAGCTACAATCAGTTACTCGAATGGCTTTTCAGCCTTGTCAACTTTCCTACCGGTAAAGTACTAGTGAGAGGCCAGTTAGGGACAATATACAATCTACAGTATATAAAGCACATGTCCGGCCGAATCTAAAATTCTTACCGTTTGATGTATTCACTGCCCATAATATTTTTAACTTTTGATTGTTAACATAATAATCATTTTCGTGTTTTTTCCAGGCGTCGGATGCCCGCAAACGCCAGGAGTTTCTTCTGACGCGGAACTGCGGGCTGCTGCTCCTGGTGTTCCTGGTCTCCTGGCTCTTCTCCACCTTCATAATCATCATCAGTCTACTCATTAATGTACGGTCTTAACCTGTCACATCCCATAATGTAGGGATAGTTTGTTCTATGTAATGATTTGTGATTGATGCAATGATTTCTTTTCTGGTGGCTTGGCTGCGTTCATTCCACATCTTTGGCATCTATTTGAAACACCATGTTGTATTCCATTCCCTAACAGATTTTGGAATGCACCCCCCCGTCCATATATTATAGTACTTGTATATTGTATTGTATGTTGTTGTTGTGGTTTCACCACTATGTGAACTGTGATTACTATCCATGGGTCATCAGTCTGGCATGCACAGCAAGACCAATAGGCATGCAGCTTTCATCTATTCTTCTTGCTGATTGTCTGTTCGGATTTAATTGGGTTAACTCACTTAATACTATAGTTATATCGATGTAAAACATTGTTTTCTCTGTATTTCTCCTTCTTTCCCTGCCATGTCGTAAAATGTGGTGAAGCCATGTTGAATTTGTCAAAAGCGAATGTCGGCCTTTCTAGTTATATTGGTGTCTTTAAATGTATCATCAATGCCTGTACCATTGAACTATTCGAGATTGACCTATTTTTTTTTAATACCATAGACTGAAGAACCACCCGTTCATACGGTGCGCTTTTTGACCTGCATGATCAGTGCCCACACCGTTGCCAACCCGGTCATTTACGGTATGACGAGCACCAACTACCAAACAGCCATGCGAGACCTACTTGGCCTACACTGTTGCTGCAAGAATAGCTCTGAAACTCAGCCATCTACATCCGTAGCAGCAAGAACTCCTGAGGTACGTATTTAAACAGAGATCAAATGTTCAACGACCACTGTCGCCTTCACCGGGATAATGAATGATCAATCACTTCAAAACGTAATCTCGCGAGAGTTACGGCTACAGACACGTGACCGTATTCACGCGAGACTTTACAGATACGTGACGTAAGCAATTGGTCAAAAGTGCCAGGTCGTTTAAATTTTATCTCTGTTTAATATTTGTATGTGTTTGAATAAATTGTATATTTTACTATTATTATTACCAACACAGATGAACTTTCATGATATCCTGAGGTAAACAAATATCAGTTATGCCCTTCTGTTGTAAGGTTCTGTTTTTATTGAAGTATATAACTTCTTAAGCTAACAATGTTAGCACGCGTTTCTGATTATTAATCTTAACTTCAGTGAGTTATTTGAAAGTACCAATTTACTGTCAAACTAGAGCGACTGTGATGTGGTCTCCACAACAATCTATGATGGAATTTTAAATATGAATAGTAAATATCAAATTAGACATGTTAATTCTAGAGCCTCTATGATGGAAGCATGCTTAGTAGAAGAGCAACAAGTCTCGGAATTGATAATTATATTTTACCCCCCCTGTAGGTTCCCGTGCCCACGGTTTGCATCCATGTGCACGATCCGCCAGGCGGCACTGCTGCCCCAAGGGTTCATCGGCCTCTAGAACGCTCAGCGCTGATCGAGGAAACTCGCTTGTAATAACGTATTCGTCAGTCCGACTGTCGTATAAACGTGCTTTAATTGTTGAACCAGCTTTTATTATTACCAAATCACACGGCATCCTGCAGTATATGTATGAGTAAGCGTGGTTCCAGACAACGCGGTGAACTTGGTCGTACAAACGACATCACTACTGTTACGTAATATGTAAAATGAACTAGTGTTCATACATTTTGAATATTAGCAATAGTTTAACTAACATTTACTAGTATGTAAAAATGTCCCTGGCAAACAAACAAGGTGAATTCTATGCAGAATATGGATGTTGCACAATAAAGCCGCCTGTTATAATTTGTACAAAGTTTAATATAACTATAGTTGCAACCATACTGTGATTGTTGCAACTGTGATTTGTTTATGTTTATGACATAATTTCTTCGAATTTGAAAAGAGACAAATGCTTTGACATGCTCTTGGTCAACAAAGTTCTTGATATGTTGTCATTGCGTGTGCATTATTGACGTCACATCAGTTTTTCCTTAGATTAATAGCAAAGCTGTTGGTGTTTACAGGTGAATTCTATATTCAAGACACTCCGCTTAGATACACAGATCTGTGATCGATTGTAACTCGTGTCATTCACCGCCAGGCCGCTAGGGGCGCCCTGGGTGGGTTCAACTCTCACATCATTAGAAGAGGGCCTGCAAGGGGGGGTAGTGATTACGAATTACGCAAAATTTTCGCCGCCTATTACGAATTACGTTAAAGTTTCAGAGCTGATTACGACTTTACGATTTGCGGCTAATGTCCAATTACGAATTACGTTGATTTTTGCGGAGGCCTGATTACGCCTTACGAAAAAGGGCTTGCAGGCCCTCTTAGAAACGTGCCGCTGAAAGGTTTTCATACGGCTCTGGTCTGTAGGACCCATTTTGTTGCGGTAAGGCCACACCGATTTAATTTTATGGATGACATCCGCGCGCGCATTGATTTTCGCCCGATCTACAAAAAAAAAAAAAAAGATCACGTCTTCCGAGGCTCTGGACTGGCTTTAGGCCTGGATAGTCCATGGTGGTGATAACTCTGGCGGACGGCAGCCAGGCTACCGAAGCCCCAAGACTCAAGAACTCAGTACATACGTACAGTGTCGATTCATAAATTCCGCAAAAATCCAGCATGTGTCGGCCTGTCGTATACGTCGCTATGTAATGCGTCAAATTCACAATATCAGCTGTGTATTCCTGTGGTTTAGTAGCATTTTTATTTTGGGCTGGATTTTCTTTTTTCGCCCGCACGCACTAGTTTGGGGGTCTTCAGAGGATGTCATCCATAAAATTAAATCGGTGTGGCCTAACCTCAAGTCAAGGCGTGAGGATGCTGCCGTCAAACTCTTCACACAGATACTATGAGAAGACCACCCCCTACATGACCTTGTCACTCTCTCCAGATCTACAGCTACCGGTCGTTCACTCAGGAACAAAAACACTATCTCTATCCACCCCGC